AAGGTGAAAGATTCAAGGTTAATAGAGGTGGAGATTTTTTTCCTGTATTACCACGGATATTTTTCTAAACAAGAATGACATGTCTCGTTGATCCTTATGCATCAATTCAACTTTCCAAATAGTAATACGATCCGGAAAATTTGAACAAATAGTACTTTCAGAATGTTAGGCGACATCTTGAAATATTGGACAAATTTTCTCACTTACGACGCTACAAATTTTTGTTTATTTGATTTGCAGATATTTACTTGTGAATTTAAATTTCAATGAATCATATTCAATATTTATTTTTTCTTTAAAATACTTATATCTAGCATTAATATTAATTTTGCATAATTTTCTAAATTTTACAGTTTCTATAAAAATGAAGATAAATAATGCAAAGTCAGTGATTAATTAATGAATAATCTCATTGGCGAAAGTGAATATTCGTCACGCGGATAACTGTACGATGCAGTCGAAGTCGAAAGAACGTTAGTCAAGCCATTAATTTGTCGCGGCGAAGTTACGATCGCGGAACTTCCTCGACGGGCTTACATTGCGAGAAACTTACGGTGCTACTTGCCGCGGCGAATGTATAATCGCCGATTACCCTAACAAGTACGTGGTGGTGCATTGAGGCGACTAATTAAGCGATTATAGCATCTTGGGCGAGCTAACGAGTGTTAATCCACAGGCGAATCGTGCCTGTGGGAGCTCAGAGGGTCAATTTGCTGCACGCCTAGCCGAACACGACGACGAGTTTTCTCTCTTATCAATATTCTTGTAGAAAATTCCATATCGAGCGTGCTGAAGATCCTGCATCTCTCCTCCACCTTCGATCATGTAATTGTTGTACTCACAATACGCAATTTCGCTCTCCTCTTGTTTCCGAGAAACGTTTCATATAACTTAGCTTTTACGGCATAGTATAACGGTTTCATAGACGCGTAAAGGAGAAAGAAAAAAAAATACAGGCAAGAAAGGAAAGATTATTTCAATCCTTTTCACACCTTTGCAGCTTTCTCTTCAATATTTGCCGATAATAAGAACCAACATTAAATTATATTAGAAAACGTGTGAAATGTGTATTGTTAAAAAAATATATGTCGTCTTTCTCGACATTATTTCTTGATGGAATCGTTTTTCTGCCCCATATATTCTCGAACTTTATCGTTCGAATCCCTGCTGAGACAATATTTTTCGCAATAAATTGTTCGCTAATTTAATATTCTTATTAACATCAGATTATTAATATTTTTATAAAAATGCTTAAGGGCATTAAAAATTAAATTGTTTGTCAATTTAATTTGTGATATTACTATTCTGATTGCGTTTCGAGACCGAAAAAGATTTCGATGCGTGATTTGCAATAATCAGATATACAAGTCATATAATTTTACACAGAAATATTGAAACGCGTCATATAATTTTAAACAATCATCAACAGCATAACCGGAAATTATTATTTTCATAGAATTGCTCGATAATTCAATCAATCGACTAATTAAACACTCAGCTATCTATTGAATACATCGAGTATCAATCTGCGATTAAATCACGAGTGCATTACGAACCCGCAATTCCGGCCAGTCCGCAATATCCGTCGCAGCAAAATAGGATAATAATTTATGAAGTGAATTACGCATTGCGGCCAGGCGTTGTCCGTCGATCTCGCGATCGGTGCATCGACGTTTTCATTTTAATAGAAATTGATTGGCGAAGAGCCGCTAGAACAAGTAGGAAGTTAAGGAGATGAAAGAGAGAGGCAGGGTGGAAGGGAGGGAGGGGGAGGGCAAATGCGGCCATGTAATTAGAAATCACGGGGATTTACGGGGCATCGTGCAATAAATCCAAAAAGTAACGGCTAATGGCACGCATATTGACGTATCCATCTGACTATCGTTCATCTTTCTCACGAGTCCCACACCATGCGCACGCCCCGTATACGCGACGCGCGCCTCGCGGCTACTCCGCGCGATCGGCTCGCTCTCGCTCGCGCGGAGAAGACGAGACGAAAGAATCGACGCCTCCAGAACTACGGGGCTTTCTTTTCGCGAGGAGAGGGAGAGGAGACGTCGCGCCGACCATAAGCACGCTTGATTTACGTTAAAAGCCGAGCTGGGTCCGTGTTGAGTCTTTATCGGGTAGGAGTGAGACGATGATGATGAACGATCGGCGATTTGTAGAGGCGATCGGCGATCGGCGAATGCGCGCATATGCGAAACGGATATATGTATGCGCCCGAGCGAATCTGCTGATCATCTGCAACCCGTGGCCGATATTCCGAGTGCACAAAACGTAGCTTTGAGAAGATCGCTTTATGTCGGTAGAAAAATGGCAATCACACAATCGTCTTTCAGATCAGTTCGTTACGTGTGGCATACAATTGTATCAATTATCGTTCTTTGATAACGCCTTTATATGTTATAACTATAAATTTTCATTATTTATCACACTGGAAATGAAATTTCAATTTTTTTTATTGTAAAACCGAAATTAATTTAAGATTATCTAAAAAGATAAATTATGTAATAAAGATTAAGATTAACAAAAAAATTAATAGAGATTTTATTATTTGTTCAGATATATTTTAAAATTACAGCTCTTTAATTGTCGGCATTAAATAAATAGTAGTTTATTGAAAGGCGAATTTCAATTGAATATATTTATATATTCTATCATATCGTGTACTCTATCGAATTCTGTCCCATTAATGTCACCATTTATAAGAGTAGTGCTGAATATGTTGCACTGCGAGGCGGTAATTCTCCAGCGAGCAGGCAGTTCGGATTAACGTCTTCATTCCGAGAGAAACCCCTCGCTTGCGCATGGTGCATCGGTAATCTATCGGTTATGGTAATTCGAGCGAACGTCGAGCGCGATCGTTAAAAAAGCTGAGCGCCCACTGTTGGTGGTTGCGGTACTCGACGCAGCCACTACGCACTAGCGGCGATAAGTGGCCGCGATGCGTGCAGTTCGATTAACGCAACAACGAGTGCGTGAGCGGCCGTTCGTCGTGCATGAAAAGGGAGAAACCCGCCCACGCGGTCTATTTGCGATCGCAGAGGCGATACGCTGATTCGAGAAATCTATTTTGACGTATTTGTAGAACGATCGACACTTTATCCGTTAACGTTGTAGCTGGACCATAATCTGTATCATTATGGTATTTAAATTATTAAACGTGAACGCAGAAACGAATATCTGCTATTACATATATTGTGAAGTACTGTTTATTTACAAGTTTAATGTAGCTACATATCATTTTTTATCAACGGTTTATTTCTTTTAATATTAATAATACAGTGCAAGTGTTGCTTTATCGTGATTTATTATAACGTATAATACACATATGATAGTTTTATATAATCTTGTATAACACATTTGTTACAAATAACACAAAGTAAATATACCATACTTGAAATATGTTATTGATACACATTAGAAATCGGGCTTTGGGTATATATTGGCAAATCATGTCGTTATGATTAATTTATCATATCTCAGAACTGTTTGTAATTATAGGATAGAATATCGTTGAATGATTGAACGATAAATAATAATAATGATAATGAAAATCACTGTATGAAAGCTAAAACTAATCTTTAGTTTCACTGTCATTTGAGTTAGCTGCGGTAACTGTAAATTAAACTCTAGACAAGAAATTGAGCAATTAATTAGTGTTTTATTATACATAGAAAATAAAAGGTGTAAAGTTAAGTTTTTGAGATATTTTAAAGCTGGGATTAGCGTGACTGTTTGTCAGTCATTGGACATTTTTATTGCATAATCGATTAAATAATACCTATTATTTACGTGGATACTTTTGAAAATATTTTAAACTACTATGTGTGTGCCTAAATATATAAATAAAGCAGAACGAAGCCTTCATCATATGAAATGTTTCATAGAACTTTATATCTTAATAGAAAATTACATTGTATATTGATTTCTTTCAGTTCGTGTTTATAATACGATTTATTTATATCTAAATGCTATTAATATATCTTATTAATAGTGTTATATATATTAATTTACAAAAATATAAATTATAAAAATACAAATTTAATTTTTGATACTGTTTCAAATTTTATGAATGTGTAAATTTGTAGACAACAGAAGTAAAAAAAAATATTCAATACATACACAGATTTTATATTATTTTTAAATTATATAAAGTGATTGTGTTGATTTTTGTGCTAATCTCTGAATATTTTATTCTTCTACGTACAATAGTAAAATATATTTCTAGTTATAAACTTCTCTCTATCGATTTCTTCAAATATATTTTTATTTACTACTTGTAGACAATAAATGCGAAGTCAATTAGTAATTAACATTCATGATGTTCATCTGTAGAACTTTTTTTTATATTGTTACATTCTCAAACGCAGATCATCTTTAAGCAATGCTTAGAGGCGTCGGCTTTATTTAATGATCAGTAGTATATAGTTAGGTTACGATCCCGACATCACGATCTGCAATAACACGGATGAAAACGAACTGTTACTCGGCATTATCTATTACGATCACGGAATTGTTTGTAATGTCACTGCTGGTACATTTCACCCCGTAGCTAAGAGACCTTATTCAAAGATGACCTACTCTCCCGAGGTAGATACAACTAAAAGGATGTCATTTAATAATTTATGCCGGATAGGAAGATTGCAATCGGCAATCGCTCATCGTAAATCGAATCATGCTCTGTAATCAGCCATGCTCGCCAACATTTTCTGGACCGTTGAGACAATTCATGTTGCGCCATCGCATGTATCTGCTACAATGCTGTTTCTGCTAAACATGCGAAGAAATAACGCACAGAAAAATTATCTTTTAGAGATTTGCAGATCTTTAGAGATTTGCATCTTTTTTTAGGTGAAAAAATTCAATCACTTTGTAACTTTTTTATTACGTGTGCAGTTTTAAAATATTTTTATATGAACGAATTGCTGTTCAATTTTGATGACAAATTTTAAATAAGATATACTAACGAAAATTGTTCTGATTGTTTGCTGCAGGATACTCGGACGTTGCCGGGAGACCGGTTATCGAATTCGAGGACAATGTATCCATAAGGGAAACCCTTTCCATTAGAGAGACGTCGTCTTTTCTACTCTACCTCGCTCGTCTACCTAGGTACGTATTCATCGCATAATGCATCACTTTGGCGCACGTCGAGATCAGACTATACGGTCTGCTGTTGCGGGGTACCAATAAATCAATCGGGATTATCGCGAGATCAGTCGCGCGTGCGGAGCCCGCTGAACCATACCATAATTTATGAATTCGATTAGCGGGCGACGCGGCCGCGATAATTTTTACGAAGGGCGTTTTTAACTCGCAAGAAAATTCACACTTTACGGCCGCGGCATACTGGCGCGAGACACCCATTTATTACGCCGGCATCTGTACTCCTCAACGAGGCTGTTGTAGCCGATAATAACTGAAATCATCCGACTCCGAATTGGCAATTTATTAATCCCGGCTGGGCGAGAAGGAAGGAGCGCGTGAGCTTTCCGTTAAATAAACGTGATCGACGCCGATGTCGGTAATAATTATAATTTTCCACCGTCATGAAGTCGCGGGCACGCCCACTATAATCGTCGATACGGAGCAGAGTCGCGGCTTGCCGTTCTTTCCAACTTGACCGCATCTCTTCTTACAAGCTCTCTAACGAAGCTTCTCTAGTTTGTAAGCTATTCAATTAACACGCTTACGATGTGCCTACCGACAGAACGCTTTCTAATATCGGTGCAACGGCGATTGAACACCGTGAGAACCGAATCGGAGCAAATAGACATCGATTCGATTACAGAAAAGGATTTTTCGCTGAACATCTAATATTTAACGAGATTGTTGTCAATTTATTAATTATCAGTTATTAATTAATTGAAACATTAATACCTAAAATTAGTTAATTAATGAATATATTATATGTATGTGAGATATGTGCGCAAGAGAAAATATATTGTCTGTTTGAGACATCCAATTGAACTTTATTTCAATATAAAAATCAAAGGATTGAAAAAGAATTATTGAAGAGACTTTGTGTTTTTTTTCTGGAAAAAAAAATAGTTTCTACATTTATATCATTTATACACTGAATATTTTATTAGGCCATTAAATTATGTAGGCACTTAAAATTGATTGCTAGAATGTTAAAACTTTTACAGCATCGCTCTCACCACGTTCGAGTTTCTTACATAATAATTTTGATAGTCCAACCAAATTATTTTCAGATTTCTATCTAGCTAAATTTTTAGATACTTCAACAAAATCGTCTTTTTATCATTTTACTTCTCAGATATACATTCTTTTCATTGCGCATTGGCTTTCAATGCATTTGCGTTCTCTCGTTCGTGATAATCGCGCCGTCATTCCGCGATTCTGCGACCGCATTCGCATACTCTCCAGCTCGTAAAATACATCACGCATGATAGCTACGCTAGTATCGGTCATCACGCGGCTTTATGATTTTCTGTCCAACCGATAACGCCGAACTCTCATGCGCTTCGTCGGGAAGCGTACAAGCGGGAGAATAGTATCGGGTCGACAGTGGAAAGAACGGGACGGAAAACGAAGAACGAGAAAAGCGCGCGCTATTATGCTCGGGGCATCTCTCGGCAAGAAACACGTCCTCTTCCCCGCCGGTCTGGGAAAAAGTGGCGGAAAATTTCTGCGTCGATTTCATCGACGTTGTCTTTCGCCACGTCATGGATGGCGGTATACCGCCTTTCATCGGGTATCCCAGCGCGAAGTTTAATTCACACAGCTGATCAGCCGTCCCCGTGGGCTTCTCAGATCGCGATATATCTCGATATGCGAGGATAATTAAGGAGGTCTTTCTGGAAAAGCATTGCGAGATCGCGCTGCCGCTTTCAAACTTCACGAGAATTAATATGAATTTATAAGGAAAGATCGCCGTAACGAGACATACCCTGGCTTGACTGACGATTTCCCGTGTCGATACCACGAAGCAAAAAAAAAAAACGCGTTTGCGATACCAAAACTCGCGTAAACGACCTATCGCTCGTGTTCCCAGGACTATCCAGGCCGGAGCGATACTTCTAATTTATCGCGGCCGAGTTATCATCTCGCGTGGCCACAATACGCATTGTTATATGTCGATATCTTTCGTTGCCGGAAGAAAAGCAGGCAGGCACGGGAGCGTGTATTTGCCGCTTGCACACGCGAGCTAATCTCGAGAGGGGCGCCGTGGAATCCGCGACGAAAGCCGACGGTGTCATAATGATCCTCTGAGCGGAACACGATCGCCATAAATCAGCGTGCCGGTTATATACCATGCGGTGTACGGCGCGCGGGATTCATTAGCATTTTTCTGTGGTCGTAGTGGGAAAGCGAGGATCGACGTTGACATAGCGCCTAGCTGGGCTATCGGTGGCAGATTACTCGCGGATAAGCACGGCGGATGCAGATTTATTGCGCTACCGAGCAAAACGACGAAACGTCTGGGAACTTTGCGTGAAACTGACCCCGGAATTTCCACGTGCACGTAAAACGCATACGCAACTTCACGTTTACCGCGTTATCGTGCCGCGTAATATCTTGACTTGACGAGATACTTGGCGCGGCGCTCTTTCATCTCGTCGCGTAATCTGTGAAAAATCGTTTAATCGGACGGATCATGCGTGATCGATGGATAATCGGGAATATGCAATCATTTCAAAATTAGCTGCAGATCTATACTGCGATTCGGATGTTGACTGTCGGATAATATTATATTTACGTGTATAAATTTGTGGTATTTCGATACCTGCACTACTGAGAACGTTACCTAAAAATCTTTATTATCTCTCTAAATTCTTTGGAATGAAATTTCACTGTAAAGAGTGAAATTTGAGGCAGTCTTGAAAAAGACTCAATTTTCAATCTTTAAGAGTGAGATTTCACTCTTCAGAGTGAGGTTTACTTTAAAAATTTTAGAGAGTACGGTTGCCATCTCTTCTGTCGGAGATCTCACTATCTTGCCAGAGATCGATTATTAAAATTATTATTGTCTTGTAGTGCGTTCTCTAAAAGAAGATTATTTAATAATCTTCCATAAGCTGAAGAGCTAAAGGTTTCTCCAAAAACTGGAGTCTTCGGCTGAAAACCAGAGAGGGGTGACAATTGTGATGTTTATTCTTAATTAATTGATTATTAACATTTATCTCAAGATTGACGATTTTTATTTGCATGTTGTTTCCTAGATCCGGCGAAACCTATCTTACACGTAGATCAGGTAAAATATTAACTTCGCTCTGATCACGCCTTAGTTTCACGCGAGTTGAAGGTGAAATGGCGAAAGCGTAGTATGTACCCCGTTATCGCGCATTAAGTGCACTCATCGTGCATGTCCGCAGGTATCGAACGAAGTTTATTGGCTAATTGAAATTCGCTGATAGAAATACGGTGGGTGGTTTGTCGGTTAATCGACTGCGCGTTTCCGTTTTGATTGTACTTCCTGGATTTGCATTTATATTTGCATATATTTGCATAGCTGGTATTATGAGTAAATATTGCCTATGCTATGCTACAGAACGTATCATTTCATAAGCTTTGATCTTCTTGGTTTCCGAGAGATATCTTGTTTACCGGAGTGCCTGCAATAACGGTTCTTGTTAAAAAAGATATTAACTGTGCAATATATTTTTACTGCTTACAATCAGTCTTTTTTGTCTAAATTTTTTATACAATACTATTCAAGTCAGAAAATCCACGATTATTTTTTAACATTTTTCTATTATATTTACCGAATAGTTTTTCAAAAATTCAATTGTTTAAATTGACATTTGAATAAAATTGAAAAAGAAAGAGAGTGAAATTTTGCTTGTGCCAAAAAAATATCAAGAATGCAATTGACAGGTTAAAATTTTTACAAATAACACTTATCGTTTAAATTTAATTTAATTTAGTTATTTAATTTTTTAAGTTATTTTTTTTAATTCTTTGAATATATTCTCGAAATAATTGATAAAATTGCAACATCATGTATCTTTGCACGTGCTAAGTGAATTTTAAACTGTTATCGAACAATGTCAAAAGAAGATGATCAATTGGTGTTTATTATAAGAGATAAGTTGATGGCAAACGATAAAATCTGCGATCTTTAGAATCTACACGTGTAACGGGTCCATGCAACTTTCTTAATTCGAGATTGTCATAGTGTGAAGTAACAAGTCATGTTTCACCGCAGTGGCTTTTGCAGTGGCCGTCTTGAAAGCTTATATCTCACACGGGAGAAATATATTAAGCGTCAAGCGAGACTCCCGCGGTTTGCGTTACGCGTAATAACTTGATTGGTCGCGGTGAAAGGTCGAATCACCAAAAGTAATTCGCGAATGCATCGCCAGGCGAAATTGACCTCGACTCGTCTTTCACCGTTAACTCGCATCGCCGGTTTATCCGGCGATGAATCGGAGCTTTGATCGTTATATTAAGGAGGAGGGTGAGAAATTGACTGACGGATACCCGCGTGAAAATGTATACAATGTAAGTGGATTCGTGACGATGCGTCTTATTAACGCAATTTTATTTGTTCGTAAACTTGTAATACTAATTATACGTGTCTAGATAAAAAAAGTGTCTAGACAATTTTTTTTTCCTTCTTTCTCGAAAAATGCATGTAATTGAGATAATCCGACAAAGACAAAAATCTCGTTTCCTCTTCACTTTCGAAATGAGATGCTCTTAAATTATACAAACAAAAACCTGATTATAAATACAGGGTACCTTAAAAGTGAAGGATAGTTGCTTGAGAAGCAATTAGAACTAAAAAACGAGAATAAAGATGATATAAATATGATATTGAAATGCTTCACTGAGAAAAATGTCTGGTTAAATTAATTGGAATTTTGATTGAAAATGGACGAATCAGAATTTTTTAGTCAAATTATTAGAATTCTAGTTGAGGAATTCTGATTAATATAACCAGAATTTTTTTTAATTCGTTTATTTTCAACCAGATATTTTTCTTGTTTATAATATTATTTTAAAATGATTGCCATTTTTATGCTAAAAATTGAAATTACTTTGCTTTTGAACTTTATCAGAATTGAAAAAAAGAGATGGCTTTTATAAATTTTATAATATAATTTTAATGAAATAAAAGTTACAGACTGTTTTAATGTTATTCA